GTGGCGAGAAGCTTTTTCCCTTTGTCAGAGGACAGCTGTCACCATGGAGGATGAGTTTAAGGGATATGTCTGGCCAGCTCAGCGACGAGGGGTCAAGATTCCCGCAAGAAGTGAGGTGGTGATCTGGGGACGAGCTCGAGCAGGACCAGCAGGGACAAACTACTGCGGCCTGGTGGAAGCCCTGGAGGAGCTCAACACTGTCACAGTGGCCCGCACCCTTGCTATCGTCAGAAATGGTAGGCTCCCTGTTCGTCTAAAAAATTGTAATAATTTTCCAGTTACTCTAGGGCGCTACCAGAAGATTGGCCGCCTCTACCAAGTCGACGACGTGGATGTCCATGGAGGTCGAGATGTGGACCTGGCTGTTGATGACAGTGGCGTATTGCAGGTCGGCCTGGTGGAAGCCCTGGAGGAGCTCAACACTGTCACAGTGGCCCGCACCCTTGCTATCGTCAGAAATGGCAGGCTCCCTGTTCGTCTAAAAAATTGTAATAATTTTCCAGTTACTCTAGGGCGCTACCAGAAGATTGGCCGCCTCTACCAAGTCGACGACGTGGATGTCCATGGAGGTCGAGATGTGGACCTGGCTGTTGATGACAGTGGCGTATTGCAGGTCGGCCTGGTGGAAGCTGTGGACACCTCAGGGGAGGGCAACGGCTTCAGCCTAGAAAGACTAGTGGAACGACCAGGTTTAACACCTGCTGAAGCTGGTAAGCTGACCACCTTACTGCAAAAATGGGGGAAAGTGTTTTCCAAGCACGACGAGGACTTTGGTCGGACGGATGCCGTCAAGCACACCATTCCAACGGGAGATGCATGCCCTACAAGGGAGAGATTCAGACCACTGCCGCCACTCTTGTATAAAGAAATGAGGTCCCTATTAGCGGATATGTTGGACAAAGGTGTGATAACTGAAAGTTCCAGCCCCTGGGCTGCACCCATTGTTATGGTCAAGAAAAAAGATGGGAGCTGGAGGTTCTGTGTCGATTACAGAAAACTGAACTCTGTTACTCACAAAGATGCTTTCCCTCTCCCTAGGATTGAAGAGACTCTAACCTCCCTTTCTAAGGCAGAGTGGTTTTCCACTTTGGACCTGGCCAGTGGATATTGGCAAGTTGAAATGGATCCTAAGGATAGAGAAAAGACTGCCTTCACTACACCTTTGGGCCTTTTTGAATTCCAGCGCATGCCGTTTGGTCTTTGCAATGCACCTGCAACGTTTCAGAGACTAATGCAACAATGTCTGAGTGGTCATATTGCTGAGTCCCTGCTTGTATATTTGGATGACATAATTGTCTATTCACCTGATTTTGATACCCACCTGCAGCATCTGGAAGAAGTCTTCATGTGTCTGTGGAAGCATGGCCTGAAGCTGAGACCCGACAAGTGCAACCTGTTCCAGAGAGAGGTGAGATTTCTGGGTCATGTGGTCAACCAGAGGGGAGTTATGCCTGATCCAGACAAGGTGGCTGCAGTTACAGAGTGGGCTGCTCCAAAGTGCATTAAAGAAGTGAGGGCATTCCTGGGCTTGGCAGGCTATTACAGACGTTTCATACAGGGGTTCTCCAAAATTGCACGGCCACTTAATTCTCTTTTAACAGGCATCCCTACTGACAAGAAGCATGGTGCCAAATTAATTGACTGGACATCAGACTGTCAAGCTGCATTTGACAAACTAAAGGAGGCATTAACTCAAGCGCCGATACTAGCTTATGCAGACTATACCCAGCCTTTCAGTCTGTACACTGATGCCAGTTATCATGGATTGGGTGCAGTCCTGGCTCAAAATCAAGAGGGAGAAGAGCGAGTAATCGCTTACGCCAGTCGCAGTCTACACCCTGCAGAGCGAAATGATGCAAACTACAGCTCATTTAAATTGGAGCTCTTGGCACTGAAATGGGCAATCACTGAAAAATTTAAGGATTATTTAACTGGCGCTAAGTTTACAGTGTTTACTGACAATAATCCAGTCGCCCACCTACAGACTGCTAAACTTGGGGCTGTGGAACAAAGGTGGGTTGCACAGTTGGCCTCATTTGATTTTGAGGTGAAGTATCGAGCTGGAAAAGAAAATGTGAATGCAGATGCATTGTCCAGATTCCCCAAGGTTACGACCAATATTGGCTGCGCTGTGGCAGCTGTAATGGATGCAGATGCAGAAGACACAGCTTCACTCGAACTGGGGGAGGACTGGCAGGCCCTACAGGGGGCAGATCCAGACGTACATCAAATACGAGTGTATGTGGAAAAGGGGAAAGCCCCGACTAAGACTGAGCAGGCAGCTCTAAGTGAACCAGCCAAAAAGCTGCTGAAACATTGGAAACGACTCCGCATACACAAAGGGATTCTCTGCAGACATGTGTTTGACTCCTATGTATGTGAGCCCCGTTTCCAGATTGTGTGCCCAGATTCTAAGCGTCAGGAGGTCTGGAGGAAATGTCATGAAGCTACAGCCCACGCAGGAGTGGAGAGGACCCTCACTCATCTGAGGCGCCATTTCTTCTGGCCAGGCATGGAAAAGAGGGTACAGTGTTTTCAGAATGGGTGTGTTGTTTGTAGTCTACAAAAAAATCGTGTAGAACAACGAGCACCTCTTAAGCCGATAGTGGTGTCTTACCCTTTAGAGGTAGTAGCCCTTGATTTTCTCTCGTTGCGCCGACCAAGTGACACTTATCAAAGTATTTTAGTAATGACTGATATGTTCACCCGTTACTCATGGGCTGTCCCTACACGTGATCAAACTGCTCAAACTACTGTTCGTGCAATTTGGTCTCATGTCATTCAACCGTTTGGCTGCCCAGCACGTTTCCATTCGGATCAGGGACCAAATTTTGAATCGGAACTTATGAAAGAACTGTGTAGCTTGTATGGCGTTTCTAAAAGTCGCACTACCCCATATCACCCAGCAGGTAACGGGAGAGTAGAAAGGATGAATCAAACATTATTAAACATGCTTCGTTCACTTGAGGTTGAAAAGCAGAGTAGGTGGCCAGAGCACTTACCAGAGTTGTTGCATGCTTATAACAATGTTATTCACAGTGCTACTGGTTTCGCTCCATCTTACCTCATGTTTGGTCGTCATCTTAGACTCCCGGTTGATTTGAGTTTGGGTGTATTAGATACACAACCCCGCAGGGACTTGCAGGGATGGGTTTTAGAACACCATCAGAAGTTGTCTCATGCTTATGAGGTAGCCCGGAATAAGATGAGTAGTGCAGCAAACAATGAAAAACGGTGTTATGATAAGAAAGCCAAAGCCAGTGCGCTT